ATTATCAAAAGACTTGAAAAGATAAGTTGAGATCTGAAAACATTTCAACCATAATTTTCTGAGAACTAAAACATCTGGGAATATAGAATTGACAAATCACAATTGTTACTCAGGGTTTGGTATTTCTTTTTTTTAGAAATTAAATTTCCTAATTCCACATTTAAAAAAAATGACACAGCCGAAACTAGGTATGCTATGTATGGTGGTAATGTTGCATTTACTTCAGTGAGAGGAATCCTTCTCTTTTTTGGGAAAAAACATTATTTCATAGGGTCCAGAGGTTAAATGTATGTATTCACCAAGACTTAAAAAACTGGTCAGAATTCAAATGAAATCTTTACTATATCAGTTATATGGGTGAATAAAATAAAAAAATATTTCGGGTGTCAAAAACTTTATTATACAAGCCATTTACTTTTAAACAAGAGAATACATGCTAATAATAAGTCGACAAATTACATGTCATGTAAAAAATTAAACAAATGTTAGCTGTCTACGGTGACACTACAACTCGATGAAATAAGCAGATGATAGTGTTACATTCTCTCACCTTTTTGTAGCAGTTACTTTCTAACTTTTTCCATTTGAATGACAATATTACTCCTGATTTCGTTTACCAACTTGGGGACAGTGCTAATTTTCATGAGTAATGCACTATATCAAAAAAAAAAAAAAAAAAAAAAAAAAAATCTTCAAACAATGACAATCGGTAAAGCAGAAAGACAGGAAAGGAAAAGATTCCATAGGTAAATATATGGAATATGACAGATCTTTTCAACCAATTTGGGAAACACAATAAGTGGTGCAGTAAGTGGTAAAACGGTTGAAAGGCACTATTAAAAAGAGGAAGCGTTATATCAGACCACTACAATATTTCTCAAAAAAATAATAGTAATTATAATTTCTGCATTCTCAACCAACCTAAAAATACTATAATAAATACACAAATTCTCCATCTTGCCAATTGATTCAAATGAAATAAAATCAGCTGATATAAATTCACTAACCATTAGCAATAGATAGAAGTGAGAACAGGAGTGTCTAAGTAATTACGATAACTCATTTCACCAAATAAAGTAAAACTTAGAATAAATTATACAGATTTCTGAGAAATTTAGCATTCTTTCAATTTAGGTAGAAACGAATCGACTCGATTAATCCATAAATTAGCACACTGCTTATGGTATACAGTACCGGTAAATTCAAGTATGGAATTTGGGGAAATGTGTAACAAGCAAATACCGCATAATGAAGAAATGGTTTTGTTGACTGTTTCTGCTAGCTGATTTGCATCTTCATTATTAATGCTTTCCTCTATAAAATATTCCAGACGAGCCCATATTCTGTCGATTTTATAAAGCAATTCTTTCTGCTTAACTAGTTTATCTACTCTTCCTTTCCGTATTCTTAATGTCTGCAAAAATGATTCATTAACACAATTACCGCAGAAGCGAAATGTTTCATATTATATTGTTTTACTAAACTGAAGAAAATGATAAAATTAACGATAAAAAAATTCATTTTCAAAGTGATTCCGATATTTTCTTCAACCAATTATCCTATCATTTTACACTACGAATAGTAAATACCGACTGCCTTAAAAATAAAGTTTCTTCTTAGCACAGCGTAATCTTTTTCGTTTCATATTAAACTTCTCTCCTTTAATGATGGATTGCATTTATCTAAAATCCATCTCACTTTCACCATTGCCTTGAGAACTACGCAATCAGTCATATTTAAAATAAGTTTGTTGAAAAGGGTAGGAGTATAACAACTGTTTCTCTTCCAATTTTTAAATATATATATATAAAGTACCAATTGCTGACCATTTTATAGATTTGATGAAGTGAATTCAAGTATCTTGAACCACGATCAGTAAGAACGATTTCCGCAATATATGACGCTGCTGAACAAGGTAGTAATAAATCAGCATCATTTAGCAATGCATATGCTTCTTCAATGCAACGTCGCCAAACATAAAGACATTCTTCCTACAAAATATCTGCTTAACAGCAATTTCGATAAAATTATTTTTCTTCTTTTTTCGTTATGTCATATGGAATTTGTTCTTTATAATTCAAACTAAACGTCAAATAAAATTAAAATTGTCGAAAAAAAAAATCAAGTAAAACTAAGCAGTAAAATAAAACAAACGAACATACTTCTCTCTCTTCGCTCACACTGGTTATCAATTTCATGCTCGCATAAACGTCTAAATCTGAAATTATAAAAAATTTTTGCAGAAATCAGGAAAAAAAAAATTTATAAAAACAAAATTCTGGCAAGCATAATAATCGAACTATGAATAGCTTCGATGAGACACTAGTGCTACTTTTATTCACATTTAGTTTCATTTTTTGGTGCTAACAGTTTTGCTGTCTGAAAAAATGAATATTGTTACAAGGAATGAAAAATTAGAAATTAAGTAACCTATAAGAACTAGGAATTTGAATGAATAAGAAAAACCACACTTCGTACCTGACTCTAGAATTCCTGCAGTTTTATCCATATCAATATTTGTCGAACTATTACTACTAGGAGGAATCGTTTCCGGAAGCGTAGTTTGTGAATTTGGCTTCAATATATTAGAGACAACCTTCATAATGTCACCCGGTGATCCAGAATTTTTCAAAGGATTGTTTGTTAATTGGCAAATATCTTTCGAGAGAAAGTGATTATTGAAATCAGTCGTAATATCGAAAAACTGATTTGAAGCAAGAACGATCGCAGTTTGAGTTTCCGAAGCAGAACTATCCATATGAGATGTATTAACAGTGCTGATTGATGGATATGATTGTGAAGTAGGAATCTGTGTAACGGATATTGTCGTTGAATTACCGATTGGTTTGGAAAAGTCAATATCTGCGAGAAGAGATACTGCGCTTGTTGCTACTGTATGTAGATTTGCTGCTACCCCCGAGAAGTCAGAAGCTTTTTGTACAGTTTGACAAAACCCCTGCTGTTGAAAAATATCTCCATCAGGCAAATGCTGCGCAAATGGCGCGCATGCTTGCAAATGTGGAATTGGAAGTATAGACATTGTTGATAAAGCCGATAATGGTTGGCCTTTCTGGAAAATTTTCATCAAAAAGAGACAATAAAAATTTAAAACTAGGAAAAAAGCAATGCATATATTTTGCTAAATCAATATTTTTCATTAAATTGCTCAAAATGACTCGGAAGGTTTTTGTTTCCCGACTTATTTGCAATCAATTTCTTACATATTCGCAAATACAATTACATCCTAAATACATTAAATACACCCAACCCTTCTTTGCTTTATGTATAATTTATACACCAGGTAAAAAAATTCTTTGTGTCATACCACCACTTTCTTTTCTTTGAGTCGAGTCTATGCAATGTAGGTTCCTACTGTCTTAAAAATGTTAAAAATGTCATTACAAATTAACCAATGAAAACTAAAGCAAAAGAGAAGGCTTGTTCATTTAAATACTGCATTATTTTGTTCTAAACAAAATAATCCAAATAAAAAAATGAAACCGATAACAACAAAAGCTTACCTGTATTAGTGCAATAAGTGCTAAGTATGAGAAGAATTCTTGTCGCGTAAGTTGACCAGGCATGGTCCTATTCACCAATGACCATATATTACCGAGCATAGCCCGTGGAAGGCATGATGTGACCATTAAATTACAAACAAGTGTAGTATCAGGTAACTGCGACTGACTTGCAGCACCACACTTAGCAATAGCTTCCTTGTAGAAAAGAGGGACACGATTTTCCTGGAGAAGTGATGGCGGTACAACGCCCCCATTTTGTATTATAAAACCTAAACGTAAGCAATAAGATTTAAAAAGTTTTAACCCACATGGTTTTTCAATTTAATTGAAGCATGTCCACAATATAGTAAACCCGTAGAAAGCCTGAGCTTTATAAACAATAGCTATCATTAAGTGATAATAAAGAATTTTACCTGCACCACTTCTTCCAGAAAACATATCGTTAGTACCAGTATATTCCACACGACCCATAACAATATGTGCCATAAACGCAGCCTTAAAGTCGCAAAAAGTCACTCAGACTCCATTCCTAACGAAGACAACGAAGATAACCTGCAATATTCTATATAGCTATCAATAAAAGTCCTCAAAACAGCAATTAGTCAAGCAACTCGTGATGTAGGGCATTTCAAAATTATAAATTTGTTACTGGCGTCCTCAGTCATAACAATGTCAGCCAGAGAAAATTAGAAGAAATATTCTGTCATTGCTTTAAAAAAAAAAGAAAAACAGATCCATGTATTGTGCAAAAAAAGAAAAGAAAAGTACGCACATGAAAAAACAAAACGCGTTTGAAATCAACAAGCAAATAAAAGAGCTTTAATAGTCAATTAACAAATAAAAGTCATACATACATTTAATCTTACGCATTTATAAATGGACTAAAAAATTTAACAAGGATCTTTTTCAATAAATGTAACAGAAATTTCCACTTTTTTTGATACAGCTGAAAGAAAAAAACTGATTCTCAGATATGAAATTCAAACAATTCAAGTAATCTTACTGACCTTGTTTGATGAAAAACAAGTTCATTACAGCTAAAAACTTTGTTGGAATTGAAAAACAACTGGTAATAACAGTTATTTTGCACGCAAGCAAAAAAAAAAATCACGTCTTTCAACTTCATAACAGATGTGAATGTACAGCTGGGTACTGAAACGAAAGTTCATAAAGTATTAACACAACCAAACTGAGCATTAATACAACAATTATTAGCAAATTTTGAGTAAATATAAATATTACAAAATGAGCAGACAGATTAATCAGTTCAGAAGGAAACTTTTTTTAACTTTTTTACGAAAGAAAAACATACGAAAGTACTCCAAAACAAGATATCCAACAAGAATATTAAGGTTGTTCTTCAAAGAATTTAACTGATATATCGCCTATAACTTTTCATATGAGTAAAAATCAAAATTTTCAATAACATATTTTTCAAAAAGCTAAAAAACTTTCGAAGATTGTTTTAACAACATCAATTTAAACAACTACCATCTTCCTCGCTTTCCGACTGAGCAACAAATTAGCTAACTGTGCCTTAGAGGCAAGTCCTTCACGTCGCCTAAGTAAACAACGAGCATAGTGCGTATCCACTAATTCCGGATTACAAACTCGACTGTGGTATCGTAGCCGCAGAGCTGGCTCAATAGCTCGCATCATGTGGATACTCTGATGACCAAGAAACAGTGATGACAAATCTAACAGCAATGATTTACTGTTCAAGCGTGAACGAGTTTGTATGAAATCTGCACCGTACAAAGAAAAGACAGAAAAATCCAAGGGATCGAAGTGACCTCGATCCTGAAATATTTGCTTAGTTTTATTCCACAACAATATTTTCGAAACATTGCTAAGAAAATGTATGTATGTATGTAAGAGAGTGAACCGAGTTCACACCATAACGATCTCTATCTAAACAGATTGATTCCCGATATTTCCATTGCTTTAATCGGCTTCTTTGCTCATGACCAAACTAATTCGGTACTCTACATCTTCCATAGTACAATCGCTTACGAAAAAATATGACAGTCATAAAATGTCAACTTTATCAGTCCATCAAACCCACCTTATGAACAATAACTGGCCGTATATTTCGTTTAAAAGTAGCATCACGGAACTTGCTCATAAATGTATCTGCACCATTCATTTCCAGTGATCTGGCATTTTGATCAGTGTCACTCATTTCGTGAGCTGTCTCGACGTTAAGGCCTTTCAGTTTTGATTGTAGTGCTTCATTAGCGCTCACAATTCGAGGATGATATTCCACAAACGGAAGCGGAAAGAATACCTTCAAAAACGATATAAGCTGACTGATAGCGGAAGCAGCAACATGAAAAATCATAAAAAATGAGAATTATAAGTTGGCAGTTACAAATGCATCTAATATTATCGCAGCGACTACACATAACAGGTTACCCATATGAAACACACCGCGATCCCACCTAAGGAAACATATTCTGAAAAGCATCTAATCGCTGATGCTGTGTATAGAAGAACTATCACGAGGTTTCATAAAATATAGAAGAGATGGTTTGTATAGAAGAAAAAAATAGGAGAAATATCACGAGGTTTCATAATATAGAAGAGATGATTTGATTTAGTGTACCAAATACATATTATCAGAATTATTACTATATCATTCTTCAAATTCCCTACTTGAAAATGTTTGATAGTATTTATGCGCACTCGATCAAGAAATTCATGCTGAATGTCAGCATGCGGAGATAACAACAGATACATCATTTGCTGGCCAAAATGATCAACTGCTTCATCCAGTGCTGCCGCTGCCATAATCGGATGACTATCCTGCTTCAATATTAATAACATAGTTTCTGTTTGTGCTGGTTTACACCTGAAAAAATGAGACAAATGATAAGACGCAATAATAAGTTGAAATTCTTGCATTTTGAGAGACTAATTCCCAGGACTTTTGTAAGGAACAAAGACTTAACATACATTAAAAATTTCAAAATACCGTATTCTTAATTCAATAATATCATCGTTAATTAGGCGAATGACGAAAGGATCAACACCACGTACAGCCACAATCAATCTGGTTTGTCGGTTATCACCAACTGATGACTGGCATAGGCTCATATAATGAGCTATGAGTCGACGAACAGCGCCCACTTCATCATTTGATCCAAGCGGTATTAAGATTGTTAAATCAGTATCTTCTTTTACATAAGGTACCTCAATAATATTTCTTTTTAGATATGGTAATTCCTCAATACTATTACTATTATTATTCAAAAATTTTACTTTTAACATAAAAAGTCGGAAAAATGGAGAATATGAATGATGAAAATAATAGAAGTGGAGAATATGAGTGATGAAATAATAAAAACCACACAATAATAAAAATACACAGTAAAATTAATCAACAAATTTTTTTTAAAAAAGCAAAAAAAAAAAAAAAGTAATCAGAAAAAAATCAACATCAAAGAACTTACTTGTTGTAAAAGTTGATTATTAGATATTATTCGGGTCAGATGAACGCGATGCACCTTACCACCATATTTGTTACGATATAACAAGTCTACAATATAGTCCATACCCCGCAATGGATCAAACAAACGATAGCCATTTCGAAGTTGCAAAAATTCTTCATCACTTCCTTCATCACTTTCTTCAATAAATTTTCGAGCTGCTGCAACTATCTAGAAAAAAACTGGTCTATGAATAAAATCAATCTGAATTAAAAACTGCAAAAGAGAAATGCAAATTAAGTCAATTCTGATGAAAATTATTGGACTTGGAACTATGTAAGTATAAACCTGACACATAGTAACAAACTTCTTCAACATCCAACTTATCATCTCCAGTTAATGCGTAAACATTTTGATTCGCTTCGTTTTTGAAAATTTCTGTGTTTGTAAAGAAATGCCATTTCGGAACCTGAAAATTAAATTTAGTTAGTTATCTTTGCACTACACTACCTAAACTGATTCAAACTATGTAAAAAAAGTTCTAGAAAAGACCTGATACCGATCTGGTGCTTTTGAATATGGTGGTAAACCAGCTGGCTGTGACGGACCGTCATTAATATCATACGATAATGAAACAATTTCAGCAGATAAGCGATCAATTTCATATTCTGTACGATTCAATTCGACATGTAAGAAATGCTGATGAAGCGCATGAACATCTACGTCCGAAAGCAAAGGTGAAACACTCAGTGATCTGAAAAACACCAAGCCTTTATGACTCTTTTTTGAATTCACACGAAACATAATACATCTATGGAATAAAGTTACTCGTAGTAATGAAAAATTCGAAACTGAATAATTTACCGATTAAAATCTTGCGATGATGATGCCCACCACCCAACAGTATCATGTATTGCTGTACCACTGCCGTTTTCAGATAATCCATCGACTTTCCACCAGTGATATGTTTGAGTCAGAAAAAATCAACAAAAATAATGATGTACAGAAAAATAACAAAGCAGAAGATATTGAGTTCGAATAAAAACCTGGTAGTAACTGGTGCACGATAAATTTGTTGTAAGATGAATGCATAGCTCGAATGCACTGTGATCTGAACGGCTGGATATGGAACTGCACAAGTTTCTGTACCTGTAATGAAGTGCTTGAATATTGACTAAGAGCCACTTACTTGGAATTAATGATGACAATAATAGAAGTGGAATTTACCTTTTGCTACCAACTTCTCTGTTATATCGTTCATTTAACTCTGTAGATACCAAAAAATTCTTATAACAATGAAATAAGGTTTCATTCCACATCCCTTTTCGCCAACCGTTACCGAATAGTTGCATACCAACTTATAAATTACAGTGCAATTATTTTAATTTGAAATTTGCGAAGAAATTAAAAACGAATTGGACTATCCCTTACTGTATAAGCGATTGCATAGCAAAATTTGTTAGTAAGATTCCAGCTTGCAAACTACATCTGTTTGAATCGTCTCCACTTCCAACACCAATAATTACACGACGGTTCCAGTTCACGTGATTAACAAATCGCATCAGTTCAAATGGATTTACGTATGTCGTGTCAGGTATCACGTAATACCAGTCAAATTTTTCGTGCATAGTCTAAAATTTAAACAGAAGTTCAAAATATGACGCTGGAAGCCAAAATAAGCAATTACCTTGTTTCTTAGTTTAGAAAATTGTTACACTTCGACTCAATTTCCAACTCACAGTATTATAGGCTCAAAAAAAAACATTCTTGTAATAAGTAATAACGTGGAGTATGAACCATGCCGTATATGGCATTGTCGATAATCAACACCGACCATATTAAAAATAAGATTGAGAACTGGTATGTGTGAGTGCTGTCCATTTAATCTGTATGGTGTGAGATTGGGAAGACTGGCTATGTCACTATCGATACGAGAGATATCAGCGAAAAGCTGTAAGTGAGGTACATGCGGACCGATGGATGCATTCAATGCGACCATTAATGAAGACTGTCCGAGAATGAGGACCACAACTTTGTCCCGTATTCCCAATTCAGTTGCTGCAAATCCAGCTCTAACAACCTAAAACAAACTAATGTGGCTCAAGAAATAATATCAAGAAATTTTTTTTTTTTTTTTTTGAATCCGTAACAACGTATTATAGAGGACACACATCCAGACAGGTACAAACAGACACTGTACATCAATTCAAACTACCATCCATCATACTAGATGAGATTCTGCATTTTCAAATTATGCATATTCGATTAGTGCTTCACTTCAAGTCATTACTGCAGCTCATCACAAAATTTTAATATTTATAAATTAATAATGACTATCAATAAAGACAACCTTCCGGGTCTGAAATTGACCATTAGCTGCAGTTGCGACTTTTTTGATGATAACTTCCCAGTGCTCACTTGGTAACTCCTCGTTCGACGTTTTTGGAGGGATCAGTTCGTCAGGTAGAAATAATAGTACTGACAAGAGTACACCAAGTACCAAACCCGAGGTAAGTGATATACCCGCACGCACTCCAGGCACCATTGATCCTCTAGTAATCTGTGACCTTCAATTATCAAATTCCCACTTCGAGAATTCTCATAAATACATTGAATTAAATGAGGTCAATTGAATGTAGTATAATCACGTACAAGGAAAAGCCAAAAATTCCTTGCAGCTAGAATAAGAAGCGCACTCGTCCAGAACACTTCCCCAGAATTAGAAAAACGTGAGAATCCGTTACAGACGGACCCGGAATCTCTCCCATCACTCTTCAGTCATTCCTTTCCTCTCCTCTCTCTAACATTCTCATCATTTGCGAGCACTCTCTATTGCCCTCACAGAATTCATCCAACCTCTGCGCTACATCATAACCTCACCATTCTCTGCGTCCCCTTCAAATACACATACACTTTGTGATTCTTATTCACTCGAGCAGCTATCCGGGAATTCTATCATCTTGCTACTCTGCCTCTCATTTTATTTGAACTCCTTCAACTTCTCTTTCACTTCCCAATCCTCTTCACCATCAGTTCAATACACTGCTATTTTATATTTGCCAGGTTGATGGATAAGTTGCTAAAATCGCTTCCTCTTTGCTTTACCTACATCGGTTGACTGTTTCTTGAGTAAATGTTGTTTTTCGTGAGAAAAGTGGTAGAAGCCTTTTAAGTCTGCTAGATGTCTTGAGTATGATTGATTTCATATAATGACAAAATAGAGGAAGAGAATTGGAGAGCGATTTTCAGGACATTTTAAAGCAATGGATACGGATTTGTATGATGAATTTGGCAATTATGTAGGACCTGAATTGGATTCGGATGATGAGGAAGAAGAAGATACTCTTGCTTCGGGCATTCAAAAATTGGATGGTGATGGAAAGGAGGAAGAGGAGGTATTTTTTTGTTGCATACACTTTCTCTTATTTCTGTTTTCTTCTATAACACTTCTAGTACTTCGTGATTTGCTTTATTTACGAACAGAAACTGGCTGGATTAAGAAGTAATTCAGTTTGATCTGAAATCATTGTTTTTATCGAAATCTGAATTCATGCATCAGTCTTCAGGATGATGAGGCAATGAATGAAGATGCCGATCAAATACCGTCGAATCAGATCGTATTGCACGAAGATAAGAAATATTATGCGACAGCGGTAGAAGTATGTTTCGTATACACCAATTGTAAGCTTGATTTCTCGGAAACATGCATCTCTTATTCTCGACAGCCTTATGTGATTTAAACAGGAAAATTTTATTTGGTTCATATTTTAGAATTTTCAGTCGAAGATAACATTTCAGATTTATGGAGAGGACGTTGAAACAATTGTGCAAGAAGAAGATGCTCAACCCTTAACGGAACCAATCATAAAACCTGTAAAACAAAGGAAATTTCAAGTCAGTTTGTTGGACTTTCATTTTCATTGAAAGATTAACCTAATTTTGGAATGTTTTTTCTGTTTTTTTCTCTTTAATTTGTTCATGGATTATCATTATTTTTCAGGCACTCGAGCATGCTTTACCGGAAACAACATACAGTAAGGAGTATCTTGCTGATCTGATGGACTGTCCTCATGTTATGCGAAATATTGCAATTGTTGGTCATCTCCATCACGGAAAAGTAAACTTTCAAATATTTTTTTTTTTATCAATTTTCATTTAATTAAGAAGAATGAAAAACTTCTGTTCAGATAAACAGAACTGTATTTTCTTAGACAGTATGAAAACGAAAGAAAGTCTGATTATTATTCTTGCTTTTTTAGACTACTTTCATAGACTGTTTAATGGAACAGACACATCCAGAATTTGTTCGTGGTGAAGATTCAGATACTCGTTATACGGACACTTTATTCATTGAGCAGCAACGCGGTTGCAGTATTAAAGCTACACCAATTACTATTGTCATGCAAGATTCACGTCAAAAAAGCTTCCTATTGAATATAATCGATACACCAGGTAATTTGCATTTTTATAATAATTGAGGATCGTTGCTTGCTGCATAACGAAAAGCCTTCCTGATTAATGATTTTCAGGGCATGTCAATTTTTCGGATGAAGTAACGGCAGCGTATCGTTTAAGTGACGGTGCAGTAGTTGTCGTAGATGCACATGAGGGAGTGAGTTCTATCATTTTGGTAAAATATGAATAATCCTCGAGTTTTGTGCAGCTTAAACTGCGTAAATTTTTAGGTTATGTTACAAACTGAAAGAGCAATTCGGCACGCTGTGCAAGAGCGCTTACCGGTTACTGTCTGCATAAACAAAATTGATCGGTTGATATTAGAGCTGAAATTACCTCCCACAGATGCTTATTATAAACTTCGTTTTGTTCTGGACCAAGTCAATAGTTTACTTCAGTGAGCTTATACACAGTTTGAACTCTTTTCATTTTATATAACTTGTTTTCCATAAGAAGGCAGTTGTGTTTGTTTTTATTTTTCGAAATTTTGTTTTCAGAACGTTCAGCGATGATAATGAAGCAGTGAAGATTTCACCTTTGCTTAACAACGTGGTTTTCTCTAGTTCTAGATACAACATATGCTTTTCGTTAAGAAGTTTCGCTGAACTTTATTCCAGTAATTATGGTATGTTTGGGTTATAGAAACTTTTATATTTTTAGGAAATCCACCATTTCATTTTTCTTGTGAAATTCTTATGGCTTTGCATTTTTCATTCTCTAATTTTACAGGAACATTTAGTGGAGAGGAATTTGCAAGACGCTTGTGGGGAGATCAGTATTTTGACAAAAAAACCCGGAAATTTGTGAAAAAACCGCCACATCAAGGGGCTTCACGATCGTTTGTAGAATTTGTTCTTGAGCCGCTTTATAAAATATTTTCTCAGGTCAGCAGTCGCCGTGTCATCGTCATTTGATTGAATTTTCCTGTATGCTGCATATAATGTTTTGTTATTAAGGTTGTTGGTGATGTGGATACATGCCTACCATCAATGATGGCTGAACTGAATATCAAATTAACCAAAGAAGAGCAACGAATGAATGTACGACCACTAATTGCCCTGATTTGTCGTCGTTTCTTCGGCGATTTTAACTGTATATATTTGGACTGTGTGATGCACTTATTGGCTTTATTTCATGTATATGAATTTGGAAAAAAAAGATTCTGGACTTTCGTACGAATTTTCGAAGTAATTGAAGCTGATTCATAATAGTTACTTTTTTTATTAGACAACATTAATCTTAAAGCATTTCAGCCTTTGTCGACCTCGTTACACAAAATATCAAATCACCATCAGATAATGCAAGCACGAAAGTGGAACATACTTATTTAGGACCGATGGACAGCAAGCTGGCTCAGGCACTCATGAAATGTGATGCTTATGTAAGAATTAAAGCGTTTTTTTTTTTTTTTTTCAGGTTAAAAAGATAGATATTCAGTTTTGCAGAAATAGTTGAGAATCCAAGAAGTATATATTTGCTTTAGGGTCCTCTTATGGTCCATACTACAAAGAATTATGCAACAACTGATGCTACATCATTCCACGTTTTTGGTCGAATTATCAGTGGAACATTACATGCTGGACAAGACGTACTTTTTTCTTTTTCAGTTTTAGGCTTCTTAGCTTTCAGTAAAATTAATTTTAAATGCATTGAAAGCCGGGTTTTCACTGTTGCGGGAACAAAAGAGGTTTGAATTGTAAATGTTTTGCAGGTTCGAATTCTTGGTGAAAATTATAGTATTCAAGATGAAGAAGACTGTAGGATCATGACTGTGGGTCGCTTATGGATAAGCGTTGCAAGGTTTCTTTATTTTGTTGTTTTTATGTTTTAATTTTTCAGTGAAGGTTTTGATCCGTCTTAATTTGCTCATTTGTGCATTTTTTTTTTTTTTTTTGAATATAATTTAATTCTATTGGAACACTTTTTTTTCTTTTCTTTTATTTTTTTATTTATTTATTTTTTTTTTTTTTGTTGCAGGTATTCAATGGAAGTATCTCGTGTTCCAGCTGGAAATTGGGTATTGATTGAAGGGATCGATCAACCAATTGTGAAAACATCAACTATAATACAAGTTGAATATGACGAAGATGTAAGCTGAAATTCTCAAACGTTTTTGCGGATTTAGGAAGCAACTACTTGGAAGACAATGTACAATGTACTTGACTTTAGATTGACCTTTGATTTTTTTAAAGGTTTACATATTCCGACCTTTGAAATTTAACACGAAGTCAGTTGTCAAACTCGCAGTGGAACCCATTAATCCTTCAGAGCTTCCAAAAATGCTCGACGGTTTGCGTAAAGTATGTTTTTCAGTAAGAGATTTTTACAAGGTTTTTTTTTTTTTCTTTGCATCATTAAGATTATGCTGTAAACGTTTTTCCTTCTCTGGAAAAACAGCATAATCTTTACGTCTTTCTTTGCAATGATTTTTTTTGCTTGTAGAATTTGGCACTTATGTTGAACGCAGTTAAGTTAAAAATTTTTTTAGGTCAATAAATCATATCCATTACTGACAACTCGTGTTGAAGAGTCTGGAGAACATGTTATGCTGGGTACGGGAGAGCTTTATATGGACTGCGTAATGCATGATATGCGGAAGGTTCATATTATCAGTTTATTTTTTTCTTTTTTTGAAAAAGATTTTTTTTTTTTTATCAAAAACAATCTCGAAAGCTTATTTCCTGATTGGTTTTGCTAGATTAGTTTACTCTAGAGTAATACATAGTGTTATTTTACTGTATATGTCGCAACTTCTCGTAAATTCACTTAAATTTAGGTGTTTTCGGAAATTGATATAAAAGTGGCTGATCCCGTTGTCTCGTTCTGTGAAACCGTTGTTGAAACATCATCACTGAAATGCTTTGCCGAAACGCCTAATAAAAAGTTCATAAAATTATTCATTTTTGTAATTCATTTCTAGCATTAGTTTCTCATGTTTTAAAGAAATTTTTGATCTCCAAAAATTTTCCATTTTATAGAAATAAATTAACAATGATAGCCGAACCATTGGAGAAGGGTCTTGCGGAGGACATCGAAAACGAAGTAGTCCAAATTGGATGGAATAGAAAACGTCTCGGTGAATTTTTCCAG